TTTTTTGACCATCAACACCATACTCAATTATAGCAAGAAAAAAGACTTTAACATTAGTAGTGTTTACTAGAAAGGATTAGTATCTTATAAGTCACAACATGATGAATAAGGCTTAAATTTTCATTGAGAGAGATACTTCGAACAATTACCTCCAATTCCAATAAAAAAGATACATGTGGATAACTTAAAAAAAAATATAATCAGAAAATATACCGGAAAGAGCCTATCAAGTGTATCGCCTATTTTTCATAGGTAGATCTTCATCAATAAGCTATGACACTCATAAATGCAAAGACCGAATAATCCAATTACTTGATTGTTTTCCTCTTAGGTTACGTTTCTATATGTTGCTATTTAATTGAGATAGGTGTATGTTTTGCTTTCAATACTTTAAAGGAGATTAATTTCTATTATTAATAGAGTATGCATTTTGCATCTTACCAAAAAGATTAACCCAAAATCTAAGAGGTATAGTTTTATCAAGTTTTATTTTTAGTTATTATAATTTTTTCAATGTTTTTAATCTTTATAATTTTAAAGATATTGGGTGATCTTTGTTTTTCAAATTCTTATAATTTCATTTTTTTCAATGCTTTTAGTTCACATAGGGATTGAAAACATTAAAGAAAAATTATAAGAATTAAAAACAAAACTTGATAAAATTATAAGGATCAAAGATTATATTTTTTCAAATTACATTGAGAGACCCAAATTTGAGTATCTTGACGTAGCAACTAGCATCAAGTTTCTTTGCTATAATTAGTATAAGGAGGTGCTATACAAATGGAAAGTGACCCAACCGTCACTTTTTTTGGGGGGCTAATATTTTCATTAATCACCGTACACAATACTCTAACTATTCACCCTACTTTCCTTGCAATATCGGTACCAGCTAATCGCAATTATGAATTTGTTTATTATTATGTATATGAGTAAAAGAAATAAAATACTCAAAAAGTGATCAATCAAGGACATTCAATATTTTAAAGGAAGAGAAAAGATAAAAATATTCATATCGTTATATTGACGGATGTAAAAGTGATCAAATCATTAACTTTGACCTAATGTCGTTAACTTCAATTGTTAAATGCTAACTGTGCATACCATTTGTCAATCTTTACTAACGTAAACTGATAGAGGGGCAAAAATATTCATGAAATTATCGTCTAGGAGAAAAAATACCCATGAAGTTATAGATTAAGAACAAATATACCTATAATGCCTTCAGAGTTAGTACAAAAGTGATCAATCTACCAAATTTTTTAAATGTTGACCGTTTAGCTAGCTCTTAAGCAAGAGTTGATTATTTTTTCATTGCTGTAAACAAAAAAATATTCCTAAATGAATTTTTACGGATGTTGATCGATCATCGTATGAATACTCATAATGTTACTTAAGTAGGTGCAATAGTGATCAATACATCAAAATCTATGTCACATGGTTTTTTTCCATCACCATGTATCTTGCCCCCTTCTTTTTTCCCTTTCTACTCATTTTTCTTGTTTGCAAAACTTGTGATTAAATATAGTGAAATAGGTTGTGCACAATTAAAAATTGAAACTGAACACACCTTTTACGCCACCCTACCTTAAGAACATTTTCATAATTTTAAGCAATTTCATTCATGATAAGTTCAAAATGGTCGAATAGTTTTCGCCACTGCTGTAAAGAAACAAGCGATTTAATGGTCAAACCAACATTTTCTCATATGATGTTCATACAATGATCAATTAACCTCCAGAGAATTTTATCTAGAAATATTTTTTGTCGATGTCAACAAAATAATGGTCAACTTCTGCCTAGGTGTCAACGAAACGGTCAATATTTAAGAAATTTGATGAATTGATTTTTTTGCATTAACTCTGATAATGTTATTGATATTTTTGCTTCTAGCTGACGACTTTGTGAGTATTTTTACTCTTGGTCAATGACTTTATGAATATTTTTATCCTTTTATTAATCCATGTCAATAAAAAATGACACGTGATATGCATAGTCATCATTTAATGGTCAAAATTAACATTGTTAGATCAAAGTCAATGATTTGATCACTTTTGCATCCACCTATGAAATGTTATGGACGTTTTTGCTCTTTTCCTTACTTTAAAATATTAGGTGCTCCTGAATGACTACTTTGTCAATATTTTTGCTCCTTTACCCTATATATAAACATACATATTAGATCATGGTAAGATACAAAAAATATAAAAAGAATAAACATCCATATGATATAATTTATTTTAGTTATTTTTATTTATTATCTTGCTTAAAAATATATCACAGCTCTGTCATATTTAAAATTAAAATTTAGAAAAATCAACCATTCTATCCCTACTTTTTTAACTTAATACAACTCAATCCTTATAATTTAATTTAGTTATAACTTAATCAATACACTTTAACTTAATATAATTCAATCTCTATAATTTTAGCAATTTGTAACATTAGTCACCAAGCTTTAATAATAAATTTTTTAAAAAAATGCAAGGTTGACATTTTGAATATATAAAATTATAAATAGATAACATTATAGCAATTGAGTTATAAGTTAAAATTTAGTGACCAAATTTTAATCAAGTCAAATTTATAAAGTTTAAGTTGGACTAACCACCAAATTAAAGTTCATGGACTAGTTTAAACCATCAGATTTGTTGGAAGAGAATTGCACTCCTTCCTTTTAAAAATATAAGTCATTTTTAAATTAGATATTCAAAAATATAAGATATTTTTAGTTTTTTTAATGTGTAATTCATAATTTTTTTAAAGAAAATACCCTTAATAAATAAATCACTCAACTCTTCATCCTTAAGTGAGGCACTCTATTAAATAAAGGTAAATACATAAAGATGATATCAATTTAAAAAAATTAATAAACTTATTAGAGATGTAATTAAGTTAAAAATGCCTCATTTTTTTCAAGGGATGTGATTGTATTGAAGCTATTTGGTTTGTAACTAAGGGATGTGATGATTTACATCCCTTTAAAGATATTATTGATTATTGATGATGTTAGCCTTTTGTATTATATGTTAAATGTCAATTTTAATACCTTGATTAAGGCTGCATGAAGGACTGACTTAGTAGGATTTCAGCCAAATTCAAAGTCTGGTCCTTTTCATGAAAAGGTTTTAGTTAAGCAACTAATAGTCTGATCTGGTTCTAGCATAATCCAAAGTTGAATAGGACCGAATTGGTTCAGTAGGATTTGGATATTGGTTTCAGTCTTGCCCACCATCTCACCTTTTTTTCTTTTTTCATCTACGAGAGATAGCAATTTATTTTAACACAATAAAATTACTTATAGTCATAAAATTTATCATAACAATAATTATAAATTCACAACAATTTCCAATAACAATAAAAAAATATTATAGTTACAACATAAATTATTCAAATTAAATAACCTGTAACATGTCTAAAGTTCATTATACGAAGTTAACAACAAATTTCACTGATAAAAAGAGAAGACTGAGGTTGGTCAATGCTCAAATTTTACTCGATATTCATGACTTTACAAGTATCAAACAAAAAAATACTTATTATTGTTATTATAAATTAACTTATTGTAATAATGATTAATAAGTTAATTATAATTTTATTCAATAAATTTATAGAACCAACCAAATGAAGTAGTCTAGATGCTCGATCTCTTATCTAGTCTAACTTGAAGAAAGAGTTTGGTCATTTTGATCCTGAAAGAACAATTTTTATCTAGACCGAACAGGACCATATTTGTCTTGGGTTAGACTGAATCACACTGGATTGAAGGATTTTTGTATGACCCTACCTTTGATCATCCCCCACCTTTTTCCCAAGAAGAGTGACTGATTAAGGAACTTCTCTTTTATGTAATTTCCTTTGACTTGTATGCTCTTTTGTATTAAAAAAGAAAAAAAATCATGTGAAGTAAAACTAGAACTAAGTCAAAATTATAAGACTAAATGATTATTTTTTTTAATTTTAAGAGATATTATTTATCACCCCCCTTGGTTATATTTATAAAGCAAGGGAGAGAAATTTTTAATTCTATTTATAATTCATATTATTAAAATTTTGATGGAAAAAATATGATATTAACAATATATTTAATAGGAATTAAATTGAGAATTTATTAAATTTTTTGATAGACTTAACAAATTTCAAGTTTTTTATTTTGAAGGAACATGTTGAAAAATGATTTATAAGAATGATGACTATTTCACAATTATATATATATATATATATATATCTAACTTTTTTGATATTATATATTTGGGTTAAAGTATAATTTTATCTCTATATTTTTTTTAGAGGAGCATTGAGTACCGTATATTAATGAGTGAGACATTTTTTCTTAAATTATTTTTTGAGGAGCAAAAATCTCCCTTCATTTATAAGGAAAAAATGAACTTTAAACTCAAAATAAATATTAATTATTATTTTAGTTTAAACATAACTAATTTTTCCTAACAATAATTAAAATAGAACAATCAATTTTAACTTCATTGTGAAAAATTTTGATTTACTGAAATTTAAATATTATAAATATATATAACTATTTTAATTTAAACAATTATTACTTTTTATTGGCAATTACAAAAATGAAACAAGAAATTATAACTTTTTTAATAAATAAATAGTCACTAATATTTATTTTTCTGGTAAAATATGTTCTTACTTCTAAACTTTTTTTTTGAAGAGTGCTGACACTTTGTAGGGATATTTTTTTTTATGAAGGAAGATTTTTACTCTTTAAACAAATATTTAAAAAAATAAAATGTTTTATTTATTAGTATAATATGTTCAAAAGTATATTTTAACCAAATATATTTCTTTTCTTTTTAATATAAAACCACGATAAAATCATGCAGAAATTAAAATCAAATGACGTCGAAAGTCATAAAATTTGTACAATCACTAGGCGAACTATTGAATAGATAAGTATTAAAATTTTATTGAAGTTTATGTGTTATTACGTCAGCGCATTTATTAGTTTTTTTAAATATATTTCTTCATCCTAACCAATTTTGTAGACTTCAGGACATGCTGAGTCATTGACCCAGCAACCACCATCAACATGGTCCGCACTCGGCATCCAGTTCCCTAAAATCTCTGCTTCTCTCCGTCGTTCCGTCGCATCGGTTTCTCCTCTTTGAGTTGTTTTGCTGAAAAACAAATCATGGGTTTTCTTCACAAGCTCTGGGACGAAACTCTTGCCGGCCCCACACCCGACACCGGCCTCAGCAGACTCCGCAAGTACCATTCCTCTCGCCCAACCGTCTCTCCGATCATCACCATTCTCCGCCGCAGCTCCGATTTCCGAGGCTTCTCCTCCGATTCGGGCCTTTTGACCTGTATCACATATACCCGTTTCTGTTAATGTCTTTGTTAGTGACAACGTTTGAGTTCACGCCTTTGATGGGTTTGGGATTTTTGCATGCAGCGAAAACGCCAAGAGAGGATTTCGAGAAATTCTCGAGGGGAAAATCTCCGGTTCAGTCGCCGGTTGTGACTACGACTCCGACTGAGTTTTATTGGTTGGTCATCTTCGTGTAATGTTGAAATGACACTCATGTCCTTGTTCCTCTTTTTCTTAACTCTGCTCTATTATGTTGATCGTTACAGGGTAATGATAAGTGCTCTGGATCGTTGAGAGAGATAGATGGATAGAGGATGTGAAATATTTTGCTCTGAAGAATATTATTCAGCTGAGGCATCCTTTTCACGCGTCTATTTGTGTATAGGTAGATAGAGAGACACATACAAACATAAAAATACAACATTCAGTTATCAATAAGATGGGTCAGATCAGATGCAGATTAGTACTTGCAGGAAAAGTCAGGGCTTAACGAGATTCTAAAAATTGAGAAGAGGAAGAAAGCAGACTTGCTGAATTTGACCACTTATTTTTCTTTAGTTTCTCTGTTTGTACACATGAATGTTTTTTTTTTTAGAACTTATTTTGCTTCTTCTTTTTTTTCCCATTCTGTACTGGGTTTTGCTTTTGTAAATACGAATGGATTACTTGTTTAATGATAGATATCATGAACTTCATAATGCAATTACTCTGTATTCCCAAATCACTCTTCCAACATTTTTCTTCGACGGTCCAAGCTCATCTCATTCAAGCTGTGAATCTAAACCCAAGGAAGTTCTGTAAAGAATTTCTATGGAATATCTTCACGTGAACATATGACCGTGTGCATTAATTTGATCTGTTAACATCAATATAACTTCGGAGTAAAATGACAATCCGTAGAGAACTAAAGCTAACATCTTTCTTGTTTGTGTAAAAAAATTCTCAAGGGGGGCGGGGGGCAAAGCTGAGACTAACATCTTTCTTGGCAGTAATATTTGTGATCTTGTTCAGGGAGCTTTTGCTTGACCTGAGTCTCCAGGTATAAATCAGACGCATCTAACTCTTGTTCTCAAATTAGACAAGCATGAGACTATCAAAGAATTAAGACCAATTTTCCTGTGCAATGTCAGTTATAAGAACATATTCAAAATCTTTATTGCTAGGATTAGAAAGAATATGCCTAAAATTGTGGGGGAATACCAAAGCAGTTTTATAGCAGGCAAACAAAGTTGTGATAATATTATTATAGCGCAGGAAGCCATTCGTTCCATGAGAACTAAGAAGACCAAGAATGGGTTTGTAGCAATTAAAGTAAATTTAGAGAAGGCTTATGATAGACTTACTTGATTATTCATTCGGCAATGTTTGGTATAAGTTGGTTTGGACAACAAAACAATTGATATTATCTGTGCTTGTGTTGAGACACCAGCTATGCTAGTCTTGTGAAATGCGGAACCTCCCAACAATTTTAAGCCTTCAAGAGGAATCAGATAAAGCGATCCTATTTCTCCATATCTCTTCACACTTTGCATGGAGAAGTTGAGCCATATGATTCTTGATGGGATTCACACAGGTAACTGAAAACCAATTAGATTGTCAAAAAATGGGCCTCCGATTTCACATTTATTCTTTACGAATGATCTAATTTTGTTTGGAGAAGCAACCATCTCTCAAGTTGAGATAATGAATAACTATTTAGATAAGTTTTGTGAAGCTTCTAGGCAGAACGTAAATAAACTAAAAACAAAAATGTGTGTTTCAAGATTTATCCATTTCTTTAGAGCCAACGATTTAAGCCAAAAAATGAGAGTTAGTCTTACTGATGTGGGAAAATACTTGGGAGTCCTACTTTCACATACTCGAATCTCGAATAATTATTTTAAAGTCATTTTGGATAGAGTTAAAAACAAATTGGTAGGTTAGAAAGGTAAATTCTTAAATCTTGTGGGCAGAGCTACTTTATTTAAAGTGGTGCTCTTAGTTATCCTTGGTTACCACATGCAAAGTGTTCTCATACCTAAAAAATTCTACGTGAAGTTGAGAAAGCTAATTGTTCCTTTTCATGGGGTGATAGAGATGAAGATAAAAAACTCCATCTCGTGTCATGGAATGAGGTGAAAAGCGAGAGGAATAGAGGAGGATTGGTGATAAGAGTATATTTTATAATTATAAATAGGTATATATTTTAGTTTATATTGGATTATATTTATTAAGATTTCATATCTATTCAACTAATATTTAATATTTTTCTCTCATCACTTAATTATAAGACAAAAAATTTTAATATAAAATTTATTCATATTTTTTTTATATCTTGCAGAAAAATAATATATTAGATAAAAAAAGAAAATAAAAAAAAAGGAAAGAAAAGAATATATAAACACACACACATATATTGAAGAAGCATGATGCAAGATATATATCAAATCACCAAAGATGCATCAAAATTAATATTTGTGTGTGGGAATCAAGGCGCAGGTGATAGATATGTTTGAAGATAATGGTTATATATATATATATATATATATATTAGAGTCCCACATCGACTAAGAATGAAAAAAAAAACTTTCACTTTAACTATAAATACTTCCCAAAAAGCATCCAATCACTTATTTGAGTATTTTAAGAATTCTCTATGAGATATTTGAAGCCTGTAAAAACATTTTGAAGGTTGAAAATGAAATTGTTGATGAGTTCTACAAATTATAATTATTTCTTTCCTACTCATTAATTTTCTCTATGATTTTTTTATGATTGAAAATTTTAGAACAGTGTTATTTGATTTTGTTATCTGTTTTTAAATTACCCAATTAGAATAGGGATGTAGCCTAATTGGAGTGCTAGTTTTTTATTTTTTTATTTTGACTTTTTACATTTGTATTTATGAATATTTTTGCTTTTTTTAATTATATTTATTTCTCTTGTTCTTCATGTTAATTTTATGATTAGCCACCATTTAATCAAATCTATAAGTGATCTTGATGGATTGGAAGGTAAAGAGAGAACATAAATCTAGATAAATGAATATAAATAATTAGGTTAGGGATATATAGTTGTAAAAATTTATGATGATTTAAACTATAACTTATAGTTTAATTAGTTATTTGGGTATCGTGGGAGTGAATTCAATTCTAATTAAAAAAAGATTAATAATTTAAAAAAATATTAAGACAATTTAGTAATAGTTGTTACAATAATTCGATCATAGTCAACTCAAAAGGTAGAAACTAACAATCTATAGGATAAATCTTAAACCACAATATTTCAAGTGATTGTGTTTTCATCATTATTATTTCCTTGATTTGTTTTTATTATATATATTTTCATCAAATTAGCCATTTTACCTATTTTTCTTGAACTATTAATTATTTAAATTAGTAAAAGCGTAACTTTTCTGAAAGTTCCAACACCTGAAATACTTCGAATAATTTATTACTGTGATCTTATATACTTACTAGAGTGATCAATTGGGCTTTAAAGACTTGAGATGTTAGAACGAAGCTTTCATTATGAAATTGTGTTGGAAAATTGTTACTTCTCCTAATACTTATGGGTTAAAGTTCTTCGTTCTAAGTATAAATGTGAGAATGATATTTTTTCCCAAATTAAGCATAGACAAGTGGCTTTGACTGTTTGGAGAAGTATAATTCAAGTCTAGGATACTTTTGTGTCTGGTTTGGGGGAGAAGACTATGTCAAGGCGTCAAACTAAATTTTACTTAAAATACTTGTCTAGTGTTGGAATTCCTCTCTTTCAAATTGTTGCTTTTGCCTTTTGAATTTGGAAGAAAAGGTTGCTAATTTTTTTACTACTAATGGAGAATGGGATAGAACTCGATTTCTCTACTTGTTTGAGCCTAACATTGTTAAACTTATTACTAGTACCTTTTGCCATGGAGAGATGAGTGGTGAGATAAGTGGAGATGATAAAAATATATATGTGTATGTATATAATATATATATATGGAAACCATTTACTGATGGTTTCTTTTCTGTCAAATCCGCATATCATTTTCTTTTCGTAGGTACACATGATCTTCAAGATGGCTTGTGGACAAAAATTTGGAAGATTAATGTGCCGGAGAAGATGAAGATGTTCCTTTAGCTATTGGCAAAAGACAAAATTCTTACGAAGGAACTTAGAGCTTGAAGGTATTTCTCTGATAATAGCATCGCCTTTATGGGTGTGAAGCAAATGAAGACGCTATGCATGTTATAAGAGATTGTCAATTTATAAGATATCTTTGGCACCAATTATTCAAACTTGAGTATTGTAATCTATTTGATGGCTTGATAGGTGTTGATTAGACTAGTTAGAATCTTAATAATAAAATTGGGGGCCCAAATACTATACTTGCTGAGAAATTTGGAATCTCAAAAACAAAAATATTTTCAATAACAAAGATAAATTTCTAATATTTTGATGCTACTAAAATTTTGACTTAAGATGTGGTAGACAAGCATCTCTTGGAGAGGATAAACATAAATGAAGCAAGACGATAAATTCCAAATCAAAATAATGATGATGCTGCGGAGTGGCTATACCTGTCAACTGATGGTTCAGTTTTACAGAATAGGATGAGCTGTTGTGGGGGAGCAGCAACCACGGTGGAAGGAGAATGGATTTTTGGTTTTTATAGTAAACTTCCTTACTACCCACCTGTCATTGCAAAAATTTATAATTTAATTTAAAGGTTTGAATATTTGTTGGGAGAAGAGATTTATAAAAATCAAAATTTACATTGACTGTGTTGAGGTCATTAACCTTATTACAAGGAAGGTTGCCTAACCGTACCCATTTAGGGATATTATAATTTCAACTTTTGAATCTCTAAGTAGAGATTGGAATGCATCTATTATTTTAGTTTCTAAGGATATCACTTTTTATTGCTGGTCTTCTTGCTAAGAAAGATCATAGCTAAAGTTTTATTTGTGAAATCTTTGATCATCCTCCAATTTTTATTACTCTTTGAAATGGAGGATGATAAAAGGTAATTTTGAGGATTAGGGTCTCTAATGTGCCTTTCTCTAATGTTCCTTGTAATGCCCCTAATGTTCTAATTTTTTTTATTTTTTTTAGATCATTGATTTTTACATAAAATAAAAGACATTCGAATATCTTGATATCTCAAAATAGTGAATATTTATATTTTTTATGATTTTTCAAAAATAAAAAAGTGTATTTGTGATATTTTTCTTTAAAAAATTATAAAAAATATAATTTTTACCATTTTGAAGTATCAAGATATCCAAATATCTCTTATTTTATATACAAGCCAATAATTTAAAAAAACGAAAGATGAAATTGGGATGTTGGAAAATTATAAAAGATATTAGAGAAGAGCACGTTAGAGACTCCTATCCCTAATTTTGTCTCTGCCTCTTTGTTTAGATATTCAGTTTTTCATTTAAAAAAAAAAAATCTGATAGGAACGAAGAATGATTCTTCAATCTATGACGGAATCAGTATGTCTGGTTTCAGGATTGAGCCTTCACCTTCTCAGTCAGATCTGCAGCATCTTGAACGGTGGAGATGTTCTCAGCTCCTCCTCCTCCCATGGAAATCCCAAACCTCTCTTCCAAAGCCAGCATAATTTCAACCTGCGTTGAGCACCAGGACAAGTGAGAAAAAGGACTTCGCATTACGTAGGAAATATACAACTGCAAGAGTGTGATTTGACTGAAGATGCCTGACAATGTCAAGAGAATCAGTACCCAGATCGCAAATTTAATCTTGAAAGTCACAATGCTTTCGTCAACAGAAAGTTGCTTTGCAATGGTGCTTTGGACAATTTGCAGAGTTTCTGGTTGAGCCTGCACCTTGGTAAATAAAACCCAGTAAAAGGCTACTATAATTTGCTTCGACGAGACTTATGTTTATATGCATATACGAACAATGGCCATTTTGATTGATTCGGTTTATCTTTATCCAGAATGTTTAAATGATCAGGAAGACTTACAGTGGGGCAAGAGATTTTAGTCGCAAAATCGCCAGCAAGAGGTAATGCTGTGGTTGCCGCCATCTGCAACTGAACCTCGTTCACGAGTCTTAGCCCTCCAAACACGGAACTTCCCTGCACATGAAAGCAAAATATAAGCAGCAATCAATGAGTTCCCACTTCCCACCTTAAGATCTATTATTAGCACGGTGAACTTTAGTTTGTAATTCACAATAAAGTATCTTCCCATTTAATCATTGTAACACTTATAATGTTATCCTCAATCATTTGGTTGATTTAACAGTATTCCGTTACAGAAGTAGAAAGGCTATTAACTGGACGATAGGTGGTGGAAGTGACGCCAGAGTTGAAGGAGAGGGAAGCCAACGAAGGAGAAAAGATAGAAAGAGACCATGGTTTGTCAGAGAAATGATGCAGAAGGAGAAGAAAAAGAATTGCAAGATGGGTGTTTGATGGTTATTAAAATGTACTCCCTCCACGTCCGTCTCAAATTATAAAAGATTTTTAAACAAAATTTCATATATTAATAAACTCTACTAAATATACTTATTACTTTATATTTTCAAAAAAAAATAAAACTGTTAAAATATTTATAATTTAATATATTAAAAAAAATGATCAAAAATTAATTATTAAGAAGAAATAATAATATTAAAATTAAAGTATTTAATAAAACTTTAATACATTTAAAAGTTTTATATTTTGTGATGAATTTTTTTTTAAAAAGTTTTATAATTTAAAATAAAGGAGGATAATAATTAACATCTTTAAACTTAAAAAATATGAGAATGTGACTTTTATTTTGACTTTCACTTGAATTAATGACTATAGAAGAGTGTGTCTAAGAACAACAATTTGGTGCAATTAAGGAAGACAATATTAAGAACAATTTAATTACTATATTTCTGTCTTATATTTAAGATTAAATATGATTTTAAAACTTTACTTCATAATTAAGACAGAAAAAATAAATTGAAATGTTCTCATGTCTCCCTCCCATCTAGCTTGGATTAATTCTCCTGTGCTGATTGCTGCAGAATGAACAATAAAGTTAGAATTATTAATTCAGAAAGGAAAAAAATAAAAATAGAATGGGGATGATCACAGACTAGACTGTGGCTGATAGAAGTGGAGGAAAATGAGGAAGACGTGAGTCGTGACGCCCCAAAATACTGCGCGTTCCCGGAAACACCAAAAGGAAAAGAGGGGGAAAAAGCTGAAGCTGTGGGCTGAAAGAGGACGGGGCCACTCGCATCTCTACGTAACCGGCCACCGGTCATCACCCTCTGCCTCTTCGACACGTGTCCCCCTTGTCCTCCCCCCTTCTCGATTTTCCCATCTCTCCCTGCGTCACCGCTGAACCGACAACTCACGCATCCCCCTTCCCTCTTTTGTCCCTCCCCTCCCGTTCTCCTTCCTCTCTTGTCCCCTCCCCTCCCTATTTACCTCTTTGCCCCTCTTCTTATACCCTTTCATTTCAAATTTGAGAATTGTTGTTTATTTTTTTAAAGGATGATAGAAAAATCTTAAAAAATTAATTAATTTAAATTATTTTAAATATTAAATATTAAAATTTTTAATTCAATCTTTTAATTTTATAATTTTAAAATAATAAATTTATAATTTATAATTTAAATTTTAATATAAAAATAATTTTTTATTATTCAATTACATTAAAACTTAAAAAATAAATTATAAATTTATTATTTGAAATTGAAAAGTTTGAGTTATAAATTTTTAAAATTTAACATTTTAATACCCTTTTATCGTTCTCTTTTTTTATATAAGAAGGCAAGTACAATGGGAATAAAAGGAAACTAAATATTTAGCATCATGTTTAGTGTTTATTTTATTTTAAAAAATAATTTTTAAAAATTACAAAATATTATCAATGAGGTTGATAAAATATTAACGTTTTGTATTAAAAAAATTAAAATGTTAGTTACAAAGAAGAACAGCAGATTGATAGGGCGAAATAGCATAAAGCGATGGATGAGAGTGGGGGTAAACTGGGAATATGAACGGAGGCTGCCGTAGTAGGTAGCATCGGTAATTCGGACACAAATATGGGCGTTTATCGTCAACGTCTTAAAACGCACGATAATAACGCAGAAGGTCCCCCTACCAAGCCGGCAAAAATCAATCTCATTGCCGCAGACGGAGTTTTCGGCGCCATCCAATTGCATCCCTCCACGTGTACCGTAGTGTTATGCCCTCTCGACGGACGCCGTCAAATCAAAACCCCCGCCCCTCCACCTGCCGTCAGTTCAACGATTTCTGAAATTATAATAATCAGACCCAAAGAAATAAGCGTCCGCATACCGCCGGTCATGCAAAAACTTTATGAAACCCTAATTTGGTTCTCTCGTCTCTCTCTCCCCTTCTCTCTTTATCTGTTTCGGTGCACTTTGGCAAATCGGCGGTGGAACATTATGGAAGCTGACGACAAGATCCAGTCGCCTCATTCGCCGGCCAGTGAATCTCCTGGTTCGCCGCAATCCAACGGTCGGATCACGGTCACGGTGGCTGCACCGGCGCCGTCGCCGCCCCAAAACAGTTTGGCACTGGCGCTTCCTGTTCAGCACCAGCAGCCGAAGGGTAATGGTGGTGGTGGTGGAGGGAGGGAGGATTGCTGGAGTGAAGGAGCGACGGCGGTGTTGATCGACGCGTGGGGCGACAGATACTTGGAACTGAGCAGAGGGAATCTGAAGCAGAAGCACTGGAAGGAGGTTGCAGATATCGTGAGTAGCAGGGAGGACTACCGGAAAACCCCAAGACTGATATTCAGTGCAAGAATCGGATCGACACGGTGAAGAAGAAGTACAAGTTGGAGAAGTCCAAGATCGCAGCCGGGGGGGGGCTAGTAAATGGCCGTTCTACGAGAGATTGGACCAGTTGATCGGTCCGACTGCGAAAATTTCTGGTTCTGCCGGTGGCAGTGCTGCCGGAGCTAATACGGCGAACAGTCTGTCAACTCAGAAAGTTCCACTGGGAATTCCGGTAGGAATTCGTGCTGTGAGTCAGAATCCATATCAGGCTCATCAACGACTGCAGAAGCACCAGCTTCGGATGAAGACACCAAGCCAGAAGATACAGTTACGGAAGCGTGCTCCAGTTAACTCAGATTCGTCGCCGTCTGAGAGAGAATCGTCACCGGTTTCAAGTGATAGTTTTCCACCGGGCACATATGAGACGAAGAGACCTAGAATGCCAAGAGTTATCAATTCTGATGCTGTACCTGTGGAAACGAAAAATAAAGGTTGGGGAAGTGCTATTAGGGAATTGACGCAGGCGATACTGAAATTCGGGGAAGCTTATGAAAAAGCAGAGAGCTCGAAGATTCAACAGGTTGTGGAAATGGAGAAGCAGAGGATGAAATTTGCCAAGGAGATGGAATTGCAGAGAATGCAGTTTTTCATGAAGACCCAGCTGGAGTTATCGCAGCTGAAGCGCGGGAAGAGAGGAGGAGGAAAACGCTAGCAACATCAACAGTAACATTAACAATCATAGTGACAGTGATAACCTGGTTAGATTGGATTAGACTGTTCTTTGGAACGCTCGTATTGTAGTTTTAAGTGTATCTGTAATTTATCCGTTAACCGTATCTGTAAATTTATCCTTAAAAAGACGAGGGAGCGAATTATTGGTACTATTTTAAATTCGATATTGGACGATCGAGTTACGCAATCGAAGATCTCAGAGCTGAATGCCTGGGTTTGCTTTGAATTCAGCGACCATCTCTCATTTGTGTATGATTTTAAAGTGGTTATTTTATTTTATTTATAACTTCATTTGCCCCCCGTTTTGTTTATGATTTTTTCCCTTAATTTTGCTGCATGCATACTAGTGTGATTTGTGAATACGATTGCGGAAATGGTTTAGATTCTGTGTGCTCGTTTTTTCTGGGTTTAGCTCAGTCGGAATTGATGATTGTTGGATCAGGTCTATATCATCTAATTTCATTGCCAAGAATTTGGATTTCTGTAATGCTGCAAGCGCTTGAACTTTGGTGCACTCTTGTTCTGAGCCGGGTTTATAGGCTTTGATCTATGGTGCGGGCGTTGGCATTATAGCGCCAAGTAGGAAAGGATTTCTTATGGGCATCTGGGTTATAAATTTATAATTGGTCTATTTAAATTTCAACTTGATGAAAGTGTAAATTTCTAGAATACTCGAATTGGATATTGTCTATTAAATTACCTTTTCATCTATTGAGTGTCGAAACTGTTTTCGTTTTCTTCTCTTCAATTTTCATGGTGTCTGGGCAGAACCTACAATCTGACTTGGGATTTCTTGGGTGGGGGCTTGATGATTTTGGTTGCCAATAAATGAAAAATGATGATGAACGATGTCTCTGGTCTTGTGAAAATGTCACAGAAACGATCGCACTTCACTAAAGGCCATGAAGTTTGACAGGCCTCATGATTATGCTGTATTCCAATTGTCACCAAAGTGTTCAAGGTTTCAACAACCTTGGGTTTTCATTGGTTTTGACTTGTAATTTTTTATAATCTCTCGTATCTATCTCTTTTTAATAGGCAAATGTGGACTCTTTGTCTCAAGTGGTGGAGACGCTGAGAAACTCGCATCAGGAATTCAGGATTGGTAGGTGATTTACAGCTCGTTAAAGGGTTGCAGAAGGGCAGGTTGCACAAGGTCCAATCAATCAAGCTAGAGATTGTTGAGACATAAAGATGCCGACACTTGGTTTACAAAAAATAACTTGAAGGTCGAAACAAGGAAATGGAAGAAATTGCTTCTTTGTTGAGTTTTCTGCCTTCGTATGTATGCAGCGAACTTTCTGATTTTGTCTGACTTGAACAGCGTTTGCCCTTTGGTGCTTCTAGACTTGTGCGGTTTTTTAGAACATCAGAGGTTTTGGAAATGGTCATAACCTTTGATTCAGAGATGTTCCAGATGGAAGCAGCAGGAAGGAATATATTCTCAGGTAGGAATAAAAGCCATCGATCAACAGGAGTTGCTAGTGTGACTTAGCCAGAGGGTGGAGTGGGGAGTGAGATTGAAATTTGTGATCATTGTCGAGAGAAGTAAAGGCCTGAAGGGGCTTAGGCTTGAACAGAAAATGTAGATGCATTAATGAATATTGACTAATCCTTCTTACATGGCATATTGAAAGGAACCTGTATGTATCTGGAGGAAATACTATTAGGTATGCAGAAAAAAATGCAGGAGGAAGGTAGTATAAGTCGAATGAAGGATGTCAAAAGTATTGAATGTCATTAGGATTATTTCCACACGATTATATCTCTCATTTTGATGGAAATGGAAAGTGGGGAAGAAAGAAAAGGAAATATATACGAGAGAATGACATAAAGTCTTAAAATAATTAATTAATTTAAGTTAGGTTTAAATGTTAAATTTTAAAAATTATAATTCAATCTCTCAATTTTACAATTCTACTATGATGAATTGCAACTTGTATTTTAAATTTTTAGTAGAAAAATAGTTTTTTTATTTTTTCAACCATGTTGAAATTTATAAAATAAGTTGCAAATTTATCATAATGTAGTTACAAAATTGAAAAATGAGTTGTAAATTTTTAAAGTTTGCACTTAAAACTTAACTTGAATTAATTATTTCTTTTGAAACCTTTTTATCATTCTCCTAGTAATAGTATATATATATGTATATATTTATTTATTCTTTTTCGGAGGGGGTGGATTATCATGCTGAGGCTGATTTTGTTTGTGTCGTGGCTCCTCTTGTTGGTTTTCTGTCTATTTTTTTAACCCCTTGTGCAGGAAGGTACCTAGGGCTTGGCCTTATCTTTTGCTCAAGCGTTAGCTGCTGGTTTTAATAAAAAACAAACTCTGATCTTATAATGCCTGTCTTTAGATTCTGATCCTTTATTCGGTTATTTCAATTTCAGTGAGGACAGGGAGGCTCTATGCTTGAATAGTGATTGATCAATTATTGTTTCACTTGAGAACAGTGCTTGTCACGGGAAAAACTTTCCACCTTCGACTCAGTTGCTCTCTCTGTTTTTTCCCTCATGCTTCTGTTTTCTGTTTTTCCCTGGCTTATTGCTATTAATCTGAGTTCTGGATAAGCAATTGCTTTTTTGACCAGGGTTACACTATACGGTAGATTGTCTACGTTGCCTCTATTTGTACATGTCAATATGCTTGCTACTTAAGGAATGCTTGGAGTGAGAAGAATGAAAAGAAATGAAGATTTGATTTAGATGCTAAGGTCTTTCTTTATATTCACAGAAAGTTGGTACGAGGATTTGTTTGCTCCTCCAGCAAGAACTCTATTCCATAGAAATTGCTTTTAATGAAACACCCTCACAAGAGAAGGTCGACTCCTAGACTTTATCTCCCTTTTATTTAAATTTAAATCAATAACCTTATCTTTCTCTAATTTTCCATTCTCATCAATCCAAACATTCAATGCTATTGTTGTATATAGTTGGTTGAATCACGATGCTAAGGGATGAAATGATGGCACAGCAAGCTTGTTCATGAAACTCCTATAATTTTTACCTTAGATGTGTGATAAATAAATACATAGTTATACTCTCTTTGAGGTAGTGTTGAAAATCATTTATGATGGGCAAGAAAATACATAATTCCCACTAGTATTCCTAATCTTAATCCATTCAGATACATTATGGATTTCCAGTCTTCCGATCATGAGATTATTTGAAGAAAGTTTGTGTCTAGAGGATGGGCCCAATCTCGAGCAAATGTACCTTGAGAACACGCGAGTCATTGCCTGCATCAAATCCAGTAGCTCCGGAGATTGTATTTGACTGACTCTATCCACAAGGTGTCTTTGGGAAGGTTGGTTCTGCACATTCAAGAACCTGGGACCTAAGGTGTCTTTGAGGATACATAATAATAATCAGTAAAAAGTGAAAATGTTGGGTTTTTGACTTTTTTCGTGCGATAGAAAATGCCGTTGTTGAGGTCTGGCTGAAAAAAAAAAATTATGGGTTTGAAGTCAAAAGAATGAAAAGCTTGAATTATTGAAAAAGTACTGGTAAAAAGTTTATGAAGTTTTTCTCTAGGTCAGACATGGTGCAAAAGCACCGTTAACGTTTATTTAATGAGTGCGGCCATGTTAAATCCATCTGAAAGGCTAAACTCATGTTATATTTGCACAAAATACTGGCCACATGTCGCCACCTATCTTGTTAAA